GCCGCCCTTGGTGAACTGGGATACGCCTGCGCCCGCAGCGCCCCCATCGCCCAGGGCGCGGTGGGCGCCCACGGGAGGCCTGCTGGCCCAGGCGCCCGAGGCCTCGGGCGGAGCGGACGGAGCCACGAAGGACACAGAACCAGTAGTGCTTCTTGTTCTTCTTGCAGCCGCAATGGGGGCAAGGCGCTTTGCTGAGCGCCTCGCCGTCGCGGTACCATTGCTGAGGCTCGCCTGTTGGCTTGCGCACCCAAGGATCACGAAAGAACAGAGGAGCCACCGGCGAGCTGCAGCCAGGGGCTGACCTGACTGGGACGTCGTTGCTCCAGCAGGAGCTCACCAAAGAAAATGAAAGGAACCAGCCTCTTGTGGCAGGCAACGAGGAAGAGCTGTGGGGGCCGTCCTTCCCCCTTGCCAAACAGCCAGGCCCTGTGCCGAAGCACTGCGGACTTGAGCCAAAATGGCTACGGACCCTCCTCCTCCTCCTCCTCCTCCTCCTCCTCCTCCTCCTCCTCCTCCCCTCCGGCACTTCCCTGGACGGGGCGGGCCATCGGGCCCCCCGGCAGCGATCCACCTCCTCGTCCTCCTCCTCCTTTTCCTCCTCCTCCTCCTCCTCCTCCTCCTCCTCCTCCTCCCCTCCGGCACTTCCCTGGACGGGGCGGGCCATCGCGCCCCCTGGCAGCGACTCACTGGCGACGGGGGCTCGCTGCGTCCCCCGCGGAGCCTGCAGAGGGACAGGCCCGACGTCACGATACCGCCCGACCCGAACCCAACCTTTGAGCCTCCAGACCCAGACCCCCTCGGGCAATGAAAAAATCATGACGGGAGGTTTTTCCTAACTTTTCGGCCTCTCGAGGCCCTAACCGGCCCTCGGGACCGTCAAAAAACGACTCAGGATGAAAAACCGGTCCTGGGGAATGGGTCGAGATCTCTGAGGGTCGACGTCATGAAAAAATCATGACGTCGGGGGTCTGGGGAGGGGGGGGACCTGAATCCCCTATGTTTTTTTTATGGGGGTCAGGAGGGCCCGAGTGGCCCCCGAGGCCCCCTCCCCTCCCCGCTGCGTCCCTCGGGGCTCTTCCGACCCGGGCCAATCCGATCCAGACCCGGGTCAGCCACAGGGGAACCAAAGGTGGCAAAAGCATTGAAAAAACCCGGAGGTCCGCGCGGATTTCTCGGATCGCCGCTGGACCCCCCCTGGCGGCGCCGCCGGCGCCGCCCCTGGCGCGCTCCGCGCGCCAGCGAGGGGGGTCCAGCGCGGAGCGGATCCAAGAAATCCGTGCGGACCTCCGAGTTTTTATGTTCATGTCATTCGGTTCCCTAAGCCAGGCCTTGTGGAATACTACAGGATCCTGCCAAGGATCCTGCAAGATCCTGCAGGATCCTGCGCCCAAGCCTGGGTCAGTGCGACCCTGGCCCTGCAGGATCCTGCAAACAACGGCGCTCTGGCTGACCCCCGTTTGCATTGACCCCCGTCTCTTGGGCCCCGAATCCCCCCTCAACCTTGCCCACAGGTTCTCGGGCCATAACTCCGCTTCCCTGCGGCCGTTCAGGACGCCCCGGGCACCCCCGGAACGCTCTCGGCGAGGCGCAGCCGCTGGAATGCGTCCCGAGGCCGGGAAGCCGCCGAGGACAGACGACAGCGACCGAAAACCTCGAACCCCGACCCTAGGCGGCGCGCCCGGGGGGAGGCGAGAAGGGGCGAGACTTCTCAGAAGGCTTTGAAGATTCCCGGCCTTCTGGCAAGTTTTCTAAGCCTGCCCCGGAGACACAAAAAAACACCTCCCAGCAGGCGTGAGGGCCTCTGGGAATTCCCGCCGCCTTCTGAGCAGGCCTTCTCCTTCTCACTTCCCCCCCCTCGCTCGCCGCCGAGCGCCGAGAACTTCCCGAACTTCCCCCGGCACGTGGCCCCTAGAGGGCCGCGCGTTCCCTCGATCGAGCTTCCCCCCGCACGTCCCCCCCGAACTTTCCGAAAGCAGCCGAGAACCGACGAAAGCGACCGAACACAATTTTTCTTGGCAGGTGGATCTCTCAAGCTCTCCGCCGCCTCTGGCGGTGTGCGTTGCGAGCAGGCCGCAGCAAAGCCACTGCTTTGCGAGCGGTGGCTCCGCGCTGCGAGCGGTGGCTTTGCTGCGTCCCTGCTCGCAGCGCACACCGCCAGAGGTGGCGGAGAGCTTGAGAAGTCCACCTGCCAAAAGAACCCCGAACCGAAAACTTCCCGAGCTTCCCCCCACTTGAGCAGGGACCGACCGTCCCAGCAGTTCTATAATCCAACCACGAAATGTTCCTAGAACCCCAAAGTGCTCTGAGAACAAACACACTGTTCTTAGAACATAAACCCGACGTGACAAAGCAAGACAGGCTCCGCCAGAAATGTTCTAAGAAAACACTTCGTGCAGACCACGCAAGGTTCTTAGAACATTCTTTGGTGGGGCTGTAGGCGAGCCAGGACGCTTCGCCACTGCTTGACTGGCGCCGCCCCTGGCGCGGATCCAAGAAACCC